GGGGCACCGTCTCTTCAAAACGAGGACCCAACACCACAGGATGGTTGGGAAAAACTGCGTATATAGATATACACGGTGTGAACACAAAAAAAACACCTGCAAAAATAGATATGGTGCACTGGAAACATCACGCGCTTCGTGCGAGCGCTCAGGTTCTCGCGCAGGCTGGGGGGTCGGTGGACGAGCTTGTCAATCCCAAATGACATCTTCTTACTGAACAATGCTCGCACGTATTCAGGACCGTGAGGCGGTATGTTGCACCCTCGTGGGATATAAACGAAGGGATTCCACTCGTTTGGCATGTCATTTGCCCACTTCCGCCATCCTGTTTTCACTGCCCCCAGCAACGCGTCGATGCTACCACAGTAGCTTTGCAACTTTACGCCTTGGAACGATGAATTCGTGATCGAATATTTGCGAGTGAGCTCACTTGCAGCATTAGTACCATCTTAGCGGGGTAAGACTTTGTTGTTAGCGTCACTGCACGTGTTTCGTTCAGGTCTCCACGTAGAAGGGTCGCCTCCAACACGACTAAAATGTCAATCGCAATTAGTCCATCTGTCTAACGCTGGGTTGTCATCCGCATGTTCGTTTGTGTTCCCAGGACTGGAGTCGGCGGCGCGATCAATAAGTTTCTGCGTGGATGTGAAGCAAGAGAAAGAGCAAGGCTTGCAACCGCCATTGGCATGCTAGTTGTGATTTGCCTTTCAGACGTTTGCCCTTTTGCCTAAAACATTGAGCCAGAATGGCTGGGGGGCCATCTGGAAGGGTTTGAGGGGCCCAGTCAACCGTCTTGGGCTTCCCTGGGGCTCATCGAGGGCCTTCCTGAGACCATCTTGAGGCTTCAGCAGCCTCTCGGGAACGAAAAAGCGAGACCGTCAGAAACAGATGGATTTCCTTCGGTTTGTAATTTTGGCCTCTTGGGGGCCTCTTGGAAGCCTCATGGAGACCTCCAGGGGCCGTCCTGGGGCCGTCTTGAGATGACTGGGACCGTCGTGAGCCTAGCTTGGCGGGATCGAGGGCCGTCTCGAAGTCATCTTCGGCCGTTTCGGAACTACCTTGAAGGATCTTTGGGGCTCCCCGTAAGCTATTTTCAAACCATCCTGAGGCCCGAGAGACCCCTCGGAAGCGAAAAGCGGAGTTCTGGGATACAGATTGGTTTCCTTGGTTTTTGAATAATGTTCGTGTCGTGACAGCCTTTTGAAGCTATTTGGGAGTTTCATGGAGGCCTCTGGAGATCGTCTTCGGGCCGTCTTGAGCTGTCTGTGTTGGGAGGCCATCTGGAGCCGTCTTGGCGGTCTCGAAGGCCGTCTCGAGGCCATCTTCAGCCGTCTCGAAACCATCTTGAAACCATCTTAAAGAGTCTAGGGGGCTCCAGTCGACCGTCTTGGGCGTGCTTGGGACTCCTCGACAGCCATGGTTGCACTATCCTGAGGCCTCAGAGGCTCCTTGGAAGCGATGGGGCAAGATTTTGAAAAACATTGATGTCCTCTCGTCGCTGAAAGATGTTATTAGCCTCCTGGGGGCCTATTGGGAACCTCTTGTGGCCCTCTTGGGGCCGCTGTGGGGCCATCTTGACCTTTCACGGGCGGTCTGGAGGCCGTCTGGGACCGACTGGCGGGCTCAAGGGCCGTCTTGCGGCCCTCTGGGGTCTTCTGGGGGCCATCGTGGAGGGTCCCAGGGGCCCCGGTCCATCTATAGAGGTTCAGGGCACCTGGTTGCGGCCCGCAGAAAGCCGACGCCGCTGCATTCATAGTGTGTATATATATATATACATACATATACATACATACATACATGCACACACGTACATACATACATACATACATGCATACATACATACACACATACATACATACAGACATACAGACATACAGACATGCAGACATACAGACATACAGACATACAGGCATACAGGCATACAGGCATACAGGCACACAGGCATACAGACATACATACATACATACATACATACATACATACATACATACATATGTATACGTACATATATATATATATATATATATATAGACACACACATGTATATGTATATGTGTGCACACCGTATGTGTGTTCTTCCTCTGGGCGACCGGCCTCTGGAAGACAGGGTTCGCATTCAGTCCAGGGACTGAATTACTCTCGTATGCCTGCACGTCAGCCGCAGTATGTGCTCGCGCCAACTCGCCCAAGCAGAACACTCACAGCAAATGCGCAAACATGTCTGCGATTTCGTGTGTGAACAGCTGTTTCAACTCCATATGCTCTGTGCGAGCTCGGCAGCCCCTTCGGTTAGATCTACTACGTTCCATCGCGATTCCGATCTTACGGCAAAATAATACGGGTCCATCCCAAAATCATGGGCACTCGGGGCCAGCACATCGACATTAAAGTGGAAACCAACAATATGGCATGACAGCGCAAAGCGCTGACTGGATCTGGACAGCGCAGTCAAAAAATACTCCGACGGAAAGACCCACATGAGAATCCTCTCGGCGAATATGGCAAACCCTCACCGTCGGCCTCGCGATTGGTGAAGCATCCTTGTTGTCTCTTCTGCTTATACTTTTTCTCGCCCTGGCGC